CCAGAAAGCGAAGAACTACCTGCCTTTAAAAAATGTCATTGTGCTTTTTAATTTTATTTTTTTTTAATAAAGAGAAAAGGAGGCTCATTAGAAAGATTTTTTCATTTATTCCTAATATTTTCATGTAAATTATATTATTAAAGTATATTATTACTATACTTGTGAATCTCAATACAGACAGTGGAGGAAAGTTGCTTCATGGTGAATCACTGTTTACAAAGAGGTTTGCAAATGTGTGCAATACATTCTCAACATTCCCTTTGCTGTCAGCTGAAGATAGCTGTGCTATATTGATGATAGGTATCCAAAAAAAAAAAAAAAATTTCACAGTTATTTATCAATTCTTCATTTTCACTGACATATTTCTAGCCTGTGGAATAATAGAACTAAGATGATTTCTTTCACCATTGCTCACATCCTTTCTTCAACACAATTTATGATATAGCAGTTATTAGAGAAAAAAATAAACTACAAATCAGTCTTCAGTGTTTCCTTAAAATCTTTTGGTGCATTTAGAAAAAAATGCCTTTAATTTTCTCAATTTGTTGCAGAAAGTCTGGGTTGGTTTTAAAAAACATCCTGGGAAATTCAACTCTGCTTCAATGGCAGCATAAATTCAAACTGATGGTAACTCACAAAACGTTTGTTGACATATGGTGCCACCTAGCTAGAAGATTTTATGCATGTCATGTATTACAGATTTAAATGTGTTGCCATAAACATACAGTCCTCTTCCAAATGAGCTAAACATGAAATGTCAACCAGATAAACTTGAAAAACTGTCCCTTTCTAGTATATCTGGAATTACAGTTAAATAGAGCAGTAAGTATATGTTAAATAAAACCACAGTAGTAAGTAAAATTTTTCAAATTCTTAGTGTTTATATAGGACTATAAGATTGAAGGTCATTACTCATTATTTCAAAGTTTTTCAACGTTTTTTAATATAAACTTACAACCTGCATACACAAGAGCAAATGAGACATGACTTAGGAAATTTTTTTTCCCTTCAAATAAGTGACAACAGGATGGGCAGAATTGCTACCTAAAGCTTTTCTTGAAATGGAACAGAACCATTTGGAAAATGCAGCAGTGTACCACTGGCACAAGGATAGGCACATAGACAAACAGACACAAGGCATAGGAGTAAGAGATTCTCTACCAGCTGGAGAATCAGTAAAAAAACACTATTACAAACAAATCAAACTGGAAGATGTCACATCAACCACTTATTTTAAAACTTCGGTAATGTCATGGTTTGAGTCTGGTCAGCAGCCAACCACCATGCAGCAGCTCTCTCTCCCTTCTCTTCTGGCAATGAGAAGGGGCAGAGAGCCAGGCTTGGGGTTCGAGATAGGACTGGGGTGGGGAAAAAATCCCCCTTTTATGATCACGAGCAAAAGGCAGACTCGTTAGGGGAAGAAAAAAAGAACATACATTTATTACAGACACTAACAACACATAACAGAGTAGGACAGTGAGCAGCATTGCCACATCTTGAGAACACCTTCCCCCCACCCCTCCCTTCTTCCCGGGCTCAGCTCTGCTCCCGATATCTCTACCTCCTCCCCCAGGGGCGCAGGGGCAGGGAATGGGGGGGTGCAGTCAGCGCTGCCGCTTATTCCATCTTGACTGTATGCTTTGTAGGCTTAAGAGCAGCTGCCGAGGAAGGATATTATATTTTGGATATTGTATTCAGAGGTATTTGGGGGTAGAGTGGGCAGGAAGGGTGTGAAGGACAGCTTACACCCACGCAGTAGCAAAATCTTTCACAATAGTGCAGATGCAAATTGTGAGGCAAATTCATGTAGATCACAAAGCAGAGAATGAAGGAGGTCTACAAAAACACTCAAGGGTTTGCCTGCCCTTTACTTGCCAACATTTAACATACAAAATCCTGAAACATTGTTTTAAAGGGACAGCCAAGGCCCAAACGGTCCCTGACATGACTGAATGTGCAAAGACCCGGATGCAAAAAGGCCCCAGAACGTCCCTACCTGCAGGAAGGAGAGCACTAAACCAAGAGAGAGGTTCTGGCTCCGTGCAGTGTCAACTCAGTCAATGTTTTTTTAAAAGAAGTAGCAATGCTGCTATTCCACCCAATATTTTAGTGCTGGTTATGGGTCAGATCAGGATCCTATCCATTCAGCTGCCCCCACAAGCTATGCCCAGCTCACATCGTGCAGTCACAGAAAGCATCTGGGCTTATATGTTAAAGACCAAGTCCCAGTTACACAGCTTGGATACTGCAGTGTTATTTGTCACTGGTAAGAGGAAACTCTATAGAAGAAAACAGAAATGCATTTTATCCTCTTTTACAAACTATGTAGAACTCATAAAAATGAGACTCTGTGTAAACATATTAATCATCAGACTTAGTAAGATTCTTCTTCAAGAGTCTCTTACCAAAAGTTGAAACTCTTTATTCTGTATGAAAACAGTAAAAAAACCTTGCTAAGATATATTCAGCTATCCAGAGGCTGAATAGGCAGGGTGTTTACGCATATGATGATGACTTTATGATGTGTACCAGAATAAAGTTAGGTTTATTTTATTTACTTAAAATAATTTCCTCAGGGGTTATTGTAAATCAAGAATTAATTTAAAATTACCAAATAGAAACATGGAGATGTGACCAAAATCATCTACTTGTAAAACGGTCTTCTTGGTTTCAAGAGGTGCGATCTGTGATTTCATATCCTTCTTGATTCATGTCCTGCTGTAACATTTTTCCACAAACCGAGCCCACAATCTACCCAATCCTTTACAAGGCTGGCACAGGTTACTTCTAGGATCATAACAGCAAAGGTTTGGCTTTTCTTTGGAATGGGTGTGGTGTTTGAATAGTAACCTAAGTGTAAGTGTTGAACCTGAATCTCCATTATTACACAAAATCTACGGTAGAGTAGTATATACACTTGACTTGTCCAAAACATCCCAGAAGTTGTTTTATAGACAATCTCTGGTCCAAGTTCCAAAAAATCCATCCCCACAGAATTACACATTTGGACTTCAGAATCTGTTTACTATATACTCAAAAGTAATCATCATCCCTCATTAAATCACATGATGTGGATCTTGGCTCTGCTATGACCTCTACCCAGTCTCCTCCTGCTATGCCAACCCAACTTTTCTTGGCCAACACAACGTATACACTGTTAATAAAAAAAATAAAAAATAAAAATAAATCAAAGAGCTTGCAGACTAATGATTAAAAATACACTCCAACATTTAAAGCTGCAATAGATAAACAGTACAATTAACCAGCAAACTTTCTACACGACTGTCCTGGGTTGAGTAAGTGGTGGAGTTTTTGGCGGCCACCTATGAGAAGCTTCTCGGAGCTCCCCCAGCTCCACGTCAGCTCCACCTCTGCACCAAAACTGAGCCCATCAGCTGCACCTCTGCGATAACGTATTTAAGAAGGGACATGGTGAGGAGGAGTGGGACTGGTGAGGAGGAGTTGGGGCAGCTGCGTGAACACCAAGGTCAGTGGAGGAATGGAGGAAGACAGGAGGGGGGAGGTGTGCCGGAGCAGAGACCCCCCTGTATCCTGTGGGGAGACGGCAGGGCGGCCCCCCCCTGCCACCCATGGAGATATACAGTGGAGCAGACACTGATTTATGGCCTGTGGTTTTCACCTTGATGATCAAGATGCTGTGCCCAAAGAAGGCTGGGGTCTTGTGGGAAAAGGCAGCCCCGCTGTTGTAGTTGGGTGCTGGGAGGATTGCAGCATGTGGGGGAGTCCCACGCCGGAGCAGCTCGGGAAGGGCTGCAGCCGTGGGAGGGAATCCAGTCGGAGAAAGTTGGTGACCCATGACGGAGCAGTGTGGGGAACGCTGCGGCCCGTGGGAGGGACTCATGTTGGAGAGGGTTTGTGGAGGACTGTCTGCTGTGAGAGGGGGACCACACTGGAGCAGGGGCAACAAGTTCCAGAAGCTCCCCCCACCGCAGATGGCAGAAGTGGCAGCACTGACTGCACCCCCCATTCCCTGCCCCTGCGCCCCTGGGGGAGGAGGTAGAGATATCGGGAGCAGAACTGAGCCCGGGAAGAAGGGAGGGGTGGGGGGAAGGTGTTCTCAAGATGTGGCAATGCTGCTCACTGTCCTACTCTGTTATGTGTTGTTAGTGTCTGTAATAAACGTATGCTCTTTTTTTCTTCCCCTAACGAGTCTGCCTTTTGCTCGTGATCATAAAGGGGGATTTTCCCCCATCCCAGTCCTATCTCAGACCCCAAGCCTGGCTCTCTGTCCCTTCTCATTGCCGGAGGGGAAGGGAGAGAGAGCTGCTGCATTGTGGTTGGCTGCCAATCAGGCCTAAACCACGACAACAACCAAAACTTTCCATCTCAGGCTGAATTGCAAACCCAAGGTACTTCTATCAAAGGGGGCTGACATAGGTAAGATACCTCATTTATCAAAGTGTCTTAACAAAAATCCGTGTTTCTGTTTAGTATTGAGACCAGAATGATGTACTGGCGGGGTGAAGGGTAGGTTGGCTGCAGATTTTTTGTTCCGAGAGAAGCACGGATGCCAAATCCTTCACACCCGAGACGGCTCCTGACTCGGGCAGCCTTGCTCTCGAGCTGCCTTTGCCAGGCAATGCCCGTCTCCTGACCCTCACTTCTCAATTTCCAGCTGGGCCACTGCTCCCTCAACTGTTTGGCAAAACTGACTGACTGGGGGGGGGGGGGGGGGAAGCAAAAAAGGGGGGCAGTGAGGGGCTGGGAAGAGGCAGCTCAGGGGAGGAGGGAGAGGAAACAGTCCAGACCACAGACACCTACAGTGAGTGAACAGACCTCCCTCTTTAATCAAGACTTTGGCATCAACTTTCTGACAGACTTCTTTGTTGGTTCCTAGTAATTCAGTTAATTTTGTTTACAGCTATGTGTGGCATGATAAATTTCATCTTCTGAAGCAGCACAAAAATTCAGACCAAAACCCCTCACTACTTCAGCAAATTTTCTCCTGGCAAGAACAAGATACTTACAAACATCAAAAATGGTTTTGTATTTTTATTAATATTTACAAAATACTCTAAATTCATAACATTTGTCCAGCTTGCATATATGAATGGTACAAAATCCCCCAGTTACATCAGCACTGAATTATAAAAGTTTTATTTTAAAATTGCTCAAAAGCACACTTATCCAGTATTTTTTCCATCCAAGTAAACATACACATCAAATTAAAAAATAAGTATTATATTTTCTTTGTTTCAAGACACAAGGGATCACAAAACCATCCATCTTTTTTAGGTCCATGGTAGAATTCTCACAGTGAGCATTTTAATGCTAGTAATTCTCAAATTAAATATTCTCTAGAGCGATTAAAAAAAGATTTAAGAATATGGGGAAGCAGAAACAGCTTCTACAGATGATTAGGGTTAGGAGGTGGGAAACGTAATAATGATCACAATTCGTGCAGTTCTGTCACTGCTGAAATAAAATACTCATCCTTGGAGATGTTAAAGTTAAGACCTAACAGAACTGGTAAATAATTCTACTAGGAACATTTAATTCACTTCTTAGTTTCTATAAAATACAAATTTTCCTAACACATTATTTGTTGGTTTTCAGTCAAGATTCGCACACGAGTAGACAATGAACTCCCTCAACAAAAAATAAAAAAACCCCAAACAAACAAACAAACAAAAAACAAAACAAAAAAACAACCAAACAAAAAAAACCCCCCAAAACATTAAAAGCAGGTTTTGGTACATTGCTAACAACATGATGTACTAAGTAGGTGTTTTTCTCTTGTTTAATCCAGCATATATGATAATATTATACAGGAATCCTCATAGAAAAGAGGACAAAATTGATGTTTCTGCCATGGACAAAAACTTTATAAAAATCATGATACAATTAAAATACAAAATATACATAGAACATGTCAGATTAGTTAGTAGTGGCATTTGAGGTTTCTGGAGACTGAAGAAATTCATAGGGATCGTGAACCATGTCTTGCTGTTCTCCAACACTGAGATGAGAAGGGCTACCTGTAGAATATGAAAAAAAAAAAAACCCAAAACCCACAAAAAAAAAAACAAAAACAAAAAACAACATCAAAACCTTTAAAAGTGCAGAAAAATAACTGAGAGATACTTATGCATATAAACAGTATGCTTATTTTACATGTTCCTTTGAGACTTTTAAAGCAAGACAGACATTTAAGTGATATTTAAACAAGAGATGTTAAAAAAGAAATTACAAGATTCTTCAATAATCTAGATCTTTTTTGAAAAAAACACTCATTATTCCATTACTCTGAGTTGAAAATTAAAATTACACAAAATGTAATTGAATATCATCAAACCAGTATCTCCCACCTTCTTAGAAATGGCACCCAATTGTTCAGCGGTACGTTACCCTGCCATCCTATCTTATCACTGAATTTTACAGTTGACAATGGAAGGCTATTGTAGAATCCCATGTGTTACTTGCTGCATACAGTTATGCTGAAGTAAAATAAACATTATAGTACACACTCCTGGGTATTTCTAAGAGCATAAAATGCAAGTGCATATATTTGATTTGCCTGTCAGTATCAATTTACTTCATAATTACTTCAATCATGACAAATCAAAAAATAACTATAATCAAAAGTCTTGTTAGTCACCTTTGCAATGCATACTTAAAAATTAAAACATGATCCTGTCATCAGTCAGCACACTGTTTTATGAGAGTAGTTTCATGCAAAGATTTACGTAAATTAAAATGTTAGTTTCAACCAATTTCAATTCGAGCAGAAGTGGTAACTTTACCAAGATGATGCTGGTCTCTCTCAGAGGTATTGGAGAGGGAACTCAAATTGGATGATGGCCGGGATCCCACTCTGTCGGCCTGAGCTTCATGAAGGTCCTGCAGCAGCTTAGTTGTTTCATCCAGATGTAAATGGTTATCATCATGGTCGAGCTCCTTCTTCACTTTCCCTAAGGACCACCAGTTACCAACCAAAACCCATAATCAGCGTATGCAGATCGACTCAGCAATTACCAAGTCACTGTAAAAAAATTCTAAATAAATTAGCACAGGTGTTATCTACTACACAGAAGATCTCAACCTTGAATTTTCTTTTGCACTACCAAAAGGCAACAGCTGCAGATCTGTTTTCGGTTTCAAGAAATACATGTGGAAATACATTTGGCAATACTGGACAATGAAGGAGAGCATCATGGGAAATGGCTGAAACTGAACTGATTCCCAGTATTTAAACAGCTATGAGAGCTTCATTTGTCTTCCTCCTCTGTTGAACTCCAGACAGGAAGCAAAGCATTTACTTTGTAGCAAAGGAGAGAAAGTCAGTAGGAAGATTACTTAAATATCTAACTTAAAATACAGTTAAAATAGAACATTTAATTTACGGAGGTGAAAAAATCCCCATCAGAGGTTTTAAGAACAGTATCTTCTCCAGATACACTGATTTTATAGTAAGCCAAATAAAATTGTGAAGTTTGAAGGAACTGGAAGTATATGCCAACACACACTTTCTTTCACCTGAAGACTTACAAAAAAATTTCTCTTGACTTTAAATAGGAAAATAAACTCCCTTCTCTGTAGGCCATCTTGCTAACTTTGTAAGAATTAATACAAAAAATAATGCCATAAACTCTCTCTGGAAACTAAGTAATCTAAAAGTATGATTATTTACAGAAAGATCAAAGAAAAATATAAGCAGCTTTCAGTGGAGCAAGGAATTCATAGTAAGACTGGTATGTCTAAACATTATCTATAAAACAGACATTTATTAATTTTTTACTGAACTGCAATAAAATTAGTGACAGCATAATCAGAGCTTAAAATTGCTTTTCAAAGAATACCGCATTTATGGGAGAAATTTGTAGAAATTTTTTTTCTTTAAGTTTTGAATTACATTGGTTATGTTTTGTAATAGATAGTTTGGCATCTTTCACATTCTAAATTAAAAGTATCTTAAACCTCAAGCAATAATTTTTTTTTGTGTGATGATATTTTTGAAGACTTTTGACCAGCTCAGCCGCCTGCAGAAACAGGAACATTATGTCTTATAGCATTTAAAGGATACCTATCAAAGATAAGTGTTTGAAACAACATCCCAATACTTTTATACGACTGCCTTATTTGAAGCTAAAGTCTTTCCAACACACAGTTTCTCCTGATTTTTGTTTTGGGACATTCCAAGTGGTTATATGATTGAGCTTCACATACTAACCTACTTCCCAAGTTATTTCAAAAGACAGCATAAGAAACAATACCATTTCTGAGGCAAAGCTCCATGCTGATTCTTAAAAATTTACATTATTATATACACAGCAAGCAAGCAAAGCTGTCATAACTGTGAGGTACAAATTATGTGGTTTCTTCAGAGGTACAGGCAATGTTAGCTTGGCTGGCACATGGATGTCTCAAAGGAAAAACAGACTGAGGTTTCATTTATCTTGTACCTTCCATATACTTTATCTATGTCAAACGTAGACTTACTAATACATTTTGAACTTTGTTATTCTTAGTAAATCCAGCTGTTATTTTGCCTAAATGGTACAACTAAACCATTATTGATGGCTTGTTTAATTACTTACCCAACGAACTTAACATAGAAATATCAAGGGATACATCTGAATATGTTTTCATAGAGAGGAAGTCCAATTCAGAAGTGTTACTGTCTCCAGCAGATTCTCCAACCTATTAAAATACAAGAAACAGAAACACTAGCAGCAGCGACAAGCCGTCATAATAACTTTTTCATGTTTAAGGTAAATGCATGAATCCGTACTCTCAGAAGTGAGCACCACCAGACTCAGCACTGGAACATCCACAACTACCTTGGCCAACCTGCACCCACAAGCAGCTCAAACCTGGTTCCAGGACAGACCAGCCGTATGACTAGCGAGGAACCTGCAGGCTAGTCTAAATATCTTTCATCTCATCCCCTGGGACTGTTATACCAACATTGCCAAATCCTCTGGGACTTGGGTACATGCTCAACTAATCCCTGTCCCATGGCAGAACCCTGGTGGGGGGGAAGGACTATCATGAAGTGCTCCCGGATCCTCTTTTCCCCTCACCTTCCCAATGCAACACTGGATTTACTGAAATTTTTAGTATGCGACTAATAAAACCAGTAAGGTGAGCCTCCCTATACACAGTATCAGCTGCAGCTGGTGTCTCAAGTATTTTTTCTATACATTTGGATAACGAAATACAGCCTGCACTACAACTATTTCATTTTTTCCATACCTGCTGCAATACTGCTATGTAATGGCAAAAGTAAGATATAAAAGTCCTTAAGCTTCAAAACACATTCCAACAGAATTCTCTGAGGTTGCCTATTCCAGCAGGAAGAATAAGACATGCAGGTAAATACACAATAAGGTATTATCTTTTAGAAATGTGAAAATGAAACTTAGAGCTTGCATGAATTCACTTAACCAGTCACCTTCTAGAGAAATACAAACATTTCCACAAAACAGAATAATTTATAAAACTATACATTTTATTATTTGCTATAATGTTATCCATATAATTTTTACGTAAAGTACCACGGAATACAGTGCATCTCTTCTGTTGTCACAAATAATTTGCAAGTTAAAACCTGTACCACTCAAAGAAAGATTTGATTAGTAGCTGTGAAAGCATAAGATATGCATTATTCACTCCTCCTTTCTAATACATGTTTTCAATGGATGTGGTAGAACTCATAAATACTACTGTCTTTTTCCACTTTTACAGAATGATGAATCTCAAATATTCATCAGCAGTATTCAACAATTATATTTCAGATTCCTAAGTGGTCCTTCTGCCTCAGATGTAGTTACGCATGCTGAATTAACCTAGAGAATGCAGAACAACAAGACAGACAAAGCCCATAGCTAAAACAGAGTGAGTGCCAGAGAATCCATTTTCAGTACTGAAAGCTCATTCTAGATATTGTAAGTTTAGTCTCCTACCTCAGAGCATGCATATCCCTGATATCCTTGCACTGAAACAAAATTAATAGCTCAAAACACTCTTTTTTTTTTTTTTTGGCTGTTTGTTTGGCGAGGTTTGGTTTTTCTTTTGTTTGTTCTGGGTCGTGTTTTTTATTGGTTTTGGGTTTATTTTTTTTTTTTTTTTTTTTGTAAACACACAAATCATTTTACCATAATCTGTTTGGAAGAATCCGGACAGGTATTACGCAACTTGTGTTCTTCTTTTATGAGAACTGGCAAAACCTAAAGAACCAAATCATATTTTAGATCTTAGCATTTCACAGCTTATACTTATGTTTCCTAAAAATATTCTTAGTTTGTTTAATTTACTGGTTTACCATGAACAGATCCTCGGCCACCACAGAACACACTATCACGTTTTGTGATGTCTGCGTAGGTCCTTTACAAAAAATAAAGACTAGCTCTTCTGTAAGGGGTGACCATATCCATTCGTGTAAACAGTTTAGAACTAACCAAGACAGCCTCTCAGGACAGCCTCTTCTTTATCATTTACCAAGCTTTTCTCTATTATTATACAGAACAGATGCACATTAAATAAAACTAGGAATTTCAAAGTTGGAAGCCCAGAGAATATCACTTTCTCTATTTTAAATGCTGAGTCACTTTTACCAGTTAAAAAAAAAAAAAAAATTAAAACCAAAAGGACTGAGTATCAGCATAACTTACTTTAACTTCATCCGGTGGTTTTACCGGGATGTTTCGCCTCTGGAAAGGAAGATTACTAACAATTACTTTTATTCAACATCAGAGAAAGACCACTCTCTTGTACAATTTCACATACAAAATGAGGCTAGAGACAGCTTTTACGTAACTGTAATGCAATTACAATTTAGCAATTAAGGTTTTGAGACATTTTAGTATTATGCATTTTAACTAGTCTTTTAGCCTCCTTACGCTGTTTCTTTGCCTGTGAACTTTACATTCAAGTGCAGTATCTCAGTCATTACTTCAGTAACTTCTGATTCCAAATCATTTATGGTTGCACTTTCAGAGATATTCATTCTTACTCAGATGTAGCAGCACAAAATACTCGTGCATAAAACACCATGGCCTACCAGCACTGAAACACATTTCATTGCACAAAATCCATACCTATCCACATACGTGACAACTGAACAGCATTTCTAAATATAAGTAGCCATTCACCATTTGAAAGGTATTCAGAAAGTCTCTTTTGGAACAACATTCATAGAACAAGATGGCAAAAAGGGAAAGGCACCTGTTTTATCATAAAGATAGGCTCTATGTGCTGTGTACACACAGTTCTAGATGCAGAATATTCAAATACTGATTTTGAGCTTTTTGAACCTTTGAAGTTTTTTTGAACTAATCCTTTACATTTCTTCCTGCCTCATATACAGTCTTTTTCCAGTAGGGTCTGGAAAAAAAATACCCAGAAAATTCTGAAGGACCCTCTGTATTTTTAATTCTATTGTCTCCCTTTCCCCAAATATCACCCACTCTATTCTACTTCTAGGTCTGCAGAGATTTAGCATAATCTCATGTCTACCATGTCAGGAGTCGCAGAATGGTTTGGGTTGTGAGGGACCTTAAAGATCACCTCGTCCCATCCCCCTGCCCCGGGCAGGACCCCCTTCCCCCAGCCCAGGGGGCTCCCAGCCCCGTCCAACCTGGCCTTGAACCCTTCCAGGGAGGGGGCAGCCACAGCTGCTCTGGGCACCCGGGGCCAGCGCCTCACCCCCCGCACAGGGAAGGATTTCTGCCTTAGATCTCATCTAAATCTGCCCTCTCCTGGTTTGGAAAAAAAAAAAAAAAAAAAAAAAAAAAAAAAAAAAAAAAAAAAAGGAAGTCTGAATACCTTCCGTCTGCCCCCATGTCTCCCTTTCTTTGATCTTGAATCATTCAGAATGCCATCATTTTAAACAGCAGATAATTATGTCAAACTAACAGTGGTTTTCAGAGTGAAGGTAACATGAAACAAGACTTCCTGGTTTCTGGTAATCTATTTTGTCTTGGGAATGCAAGCATTCCCACTAGGATTATACAGACTCCTGAGAAAAATCTATTCTCCAGTCTTAGTATGAATCTCCTAGGCAAAGTGCTAGGAATTTCCTTCAGACGTACTACATGGAGTTTAAAAGTCAGCACTGTTGGGTAACAGATACCTATAAAACAATATTAACCTATTCTCCAACATTTCAATGTTCCAAATAATTAATTCTTCCACAAGGAATATATTTTGCATTTTAACTAAAAAAAAAAAAAATGCTTAACAAAAGCATGGCAGCATTACGTATCAGAAGCAGATATGTAAGTCATGACACTGAGTGTCAGGGCTGCCCAAACACCGTTCACCTGGTTGGTCCCTCTGCATTGGAGAACTGATCTAGCTGGAAGATTACTCCTCTGCCAATTAATTCTGTTTCTAAGTCAGTTCACTGCGTGGTTGCATGAACAGCTAAGCCAGCACTGCTTAAACTGACAGTGGAAAACAAAGCATCCCATGAAATATTAAAAAACAGAAACAGGTCTGTTCTTGTTACGATGTACTTGTGACATTTTGGCGCCTCAAGGACACACCTGCTTTAGCTGATAAATAGTTTTGGAATGATCTCCACTAGTGATCTGGTCCAGAAGATCATCTACTATTTTCTTGCTGTAATTTCCAGCGTCCTTCACAAATTCTTGTAAGCTAGTAGGAACAGAGATAAAAGCATTACAGAAGATGTTTTCTTTTGTAAAAAATATTTCAACTTATAATATGGTTTTCCCCAACTACATGGCATTACACCTACATTTTCCTTGTTCTTTTACTCTTTTATGTGTCTTCAGAAAAGCAGTTAAGGCCTTCTAGATAAGAAGAGGAAGAAAAAAATTTCCCTTTTTTTTTTTTAAATGGAAGTAAATGTATGTGCAAACTTATTTTTCACAACTACCAGTGTATTTTCACTTGAACTATCATTGGTAGTGGGTTAAAAAAAACACAAAGAAAAAAGTTTGCGATTTATTCTTTCCTTTCAAGACTGACAATTTAATGAATAGTAGCATTTCCCTTTTCTAGTAACTTACTGTTTTGAAACTCGTTGTAAAATATCACTGTTTTAAAGTCACTGAAATTCATTACTTGCATATCTAAACCTACTTAATCGCTGGGTTTAAAGCAAAATGCTAAATCTTTAGCAATCTACAATATCCTGTGGTCAAAGACCATAGTAACAAGATCCATGACAGACTTGCAAGAAAACAGAGTAACTTAAAAGTGCAAATAGGAGAAAAAAAAAAAAAACAAACCAAACACCAAACCCAAAACAACAAAAAACCCAAACCAACAAACAAAAAACCCACACTAAAAAAAAACACCAAACCCCACCCTCACCCACCCAACCAGGATAAAAACTAGCTTCAAGTTTTAAGGTTTTTTTTTTTTTATTTTTTAGAATACATTAAAAAAAAAAAAAAAAATCAGGGTTCAGAGGCTCCTTGTTGGAGTTTAGTCCAAATTGCTTATCATAAAATTGCTATAAGAAGTTGGGCCTCCTAATAAGGAAGGACTTACCTTAAGGCACACTGTATCCCAGTTTCATCACCATACGCCGAGTACAAGAGTTCCATTTCATCTGATTTCAAATCATGAAATATAGAGTTGTTTTGCATGGAAGGTGCTGTACTAGCACTTGTAAGAAAGGTAACTACACAGGTAGAAGAAAGAGAAGAAAAACGATGAAAAAGATCACAGTGGGGGGAGAAAAAAATATTTTTTCTTCTGAAACATATACAGGAAGTGCAGTGTGTTTTTTATCTCCAATTGAAATCAAGAGCAGTATCTCATGGACACTTCTAGAGTCAGTGCAACTATTTTAACCATATAAATAAATGTACCTACAGTACCGGAAAAATAAAGAACTAAGTTAACTACAACACTTCTTTTGTGGAAGAGAGTCATCATGCCATCCTTTTTTATATTTTTGCTTTTTGCATGTGCCTGCTTCACTGTTGCTTGCCAGTCAGTTTTTGGAGACCAGATTAGAGACTACTAAAAAAGTCAATAATACTACAAAAACCCCCTACAGTTTGTGAAATGCTTGTCATACAATACAAAAATGCAAATGACCAAAAGGTTTTTTTCTCAACTCTTAAGCCCAATTGCTCAGGAAAAGTTTTTTCCTCCAGAGAAAAGGGACTATCATTATTGGAAAGCTTCTAGTGTGGCTACAACACTAAGGCAAAACATTAATCCATAAACTCTTAATTAAGTTATGCTTAATAAGCAAAAAAGTCAATTTAATTAGAACTGCATTCTCCTGTAAACGGAATAATTACATATCAAAAATAACCAAGTGAACGTTCATTTGGAGACAGGTATAATCTGAAGTTATTTTGTATCCAGAAATTGCTCAAACACTTAATTAACACAAAGTTAAAACATGTTCTTTGGCATTTACCTTTATTTCTTCGTTCATCTTTAAAACCCAGTGTAGTGAAGCCAGGTAACAATTTGCTTGACAGTGAACTCAGATCCACTGGGTGAGTCTCTTCCTCTAATAATGTAATTTAAAAGATAACAATTTTTAGAAGAACATTCCATGTTTAAACTTTATTTATGGTCAATACTTAGATTCTGCTATTTTAAAAAGTTAAAGTTACCTTAAAGGCTAAACGTATTTTTAATCTGTACATTTTTATTGAGGATGGGTAGTATAATTCAGATTGCTCCATTTAAGTTTCAAATACATGCTGTAAATATGTTACCATCCCTTATTCACAAGGTCTATGGATTATTTATTTCCTTGCCAAAGTATACAGCTGCATGGGATATTGTTCTATTGGCTGATTGATAAACATTCAAGATCCAGACACTATGAAGTGATAAAAGCCACTTCCTAGGTAGACTAAGTGGTAGTTGTCTATAGAAACCCAGACATCACTTATAGACCCTTATTATAATTACCATTATGGCTATAGCAATATTTCTTTCTTCTGAAGTTCTGAAAACTGCTTAATTCAAACGGCTCAAATAATGTGGAATACGCTTTTAAACTCAAAAAAAAATCCCAACAACATTTAGGACACTTCCAGTGACTAAATCTCTCTGGTTGTTATGGAACCCAATGGCAATTATGCTCAATTACTGAACAACAGAAAGCAAGTTTATCCCTAGAACCTTTTTCTAGGATAAAAAAAAAAAAAAAACTACAACAAAAATACAGATTATAGTATTAGCTGTAAATTCAGTGTAACTAGTATTAACTATACAAACAATCAAAAAAGATTCCAGAACACAGAAAGATCAGGAAGCAGCACAGTCCTTTACAGCACACAGTTAAAGTATGGTCTGCTCCCATTACCATCACTGTCTAAATTTTCAGTGGCATGATTTCAGAGGTATGAAATCACATTAATTTTATTACTTATTTTTTTCAGAAATAGGTAAGGGCATGATGACAGCCAAAATGCTCAATTTCATCACAGAAAAACTTATTACCAATTGGAAAAGAATTTACACAGTAACAGAGTTACAGGTCTGTATCTCTCAATCAAAAAATCAGAAATGTGACTAATCAAAAGGGTTCATGCATTCATCAATGCAACAACAGGGAAGCTGTGAATGAATTCTCAAAAGGTAAAGAGAAGGACGTGATAAATCAACGTGACATACAGAAACATAAAGACCATGACATTTCATTCATTACAAACTTTTAAAACTTCTGCACTTTGAGCTTGAAACTAAAGCAAGTGGAAAGCATAAGACGATACAAATAATGTATAGTAGTAACACAAACAGAAACCTACAGAAAAGGTCAAGGAACTGAAGAAAAACAATTAGCAAAACCCAATCAACTTAAAACTGAAATTTAGCCAATTTAAATTAGGAAATTAAAAAAAAAGGTAAAAGATGATTCTGTATTTGCACATTTACATAGAATTACAACATTTTCATTCACCTTCTATTAGATTTTAACACTACAAGGTACTTGGAGCAAAAGCCTGTCTTCCAAGTTCTCTATAAAGTTGTAGCAAAGTAGAAGTGCTTACAAATAGATATTATTTCACCTTCTTACTGTTAGCATCAGTAAAACAGAGCATCTGAATGGTGAAAATTGGAAAGGCAAAAGAGAAGCATCTTTTATTGGAGATACTAAACATAGCTGTTGAGGAAAATAGTTTGGGGAATAAATTCTTAAAACCCCTCATCTATACTACTATACAGGATATGTATGTACAGTTAAGACTTCAAAATCTGCTAGAACATGAAAAATTAGACATGTTTGCTTGAAAGATGATGGCATTTACCTTCTGCTTCTGGATCAGAAGAATTTACTACACTAAATAACAAAGTTCCATCTCCATTTTTTTTCAGATAACCAATCTGTAAATAAAACCACAAAGATAAAGAAACAATCATTCAAAACAGTCCAAAGTCAAAGAAGTTGCTTACTTAGACAGAAAACTACAAAAAGCATTTTTAGCTGTATTCAGATCCTGCACTCTGGTATTCCGTTTTTAATAGAGAATCTTGGGTCACAGCTATTTATCACTGCCTAGAATATGCTTCAGAACAGAAGATTTGAAAGTTCATATATCATATATTCAACTCTTTATTCATCTTCCTAAATCAGATCTAAAGTTTGAAGCTTTCTGTCAAGCCTAGAACACACTGGTTTTAGCAGAACTGTAACTCCTATACACAATCTTTCTCACTGTTTCTTTTCAAATCTAGACTGAACTGCTTGTTTTTGTATCTCACCCACAACTTTCTCCAATTTAGAGGTACTTTTATGAATTTTTTAAAATTCTTAGAGGAAGAACTGCTATGAAAGACCTATCAGAGCACAAAACCCAATGCTAAAAAGACAGCCAGAGATGTGAAAGACAACAGAACACGCCGGGGTCTGTAAAGGCAGAGCCAGAACTGATGCAACGAACTCAGCTGATGTCAGAAACAGACTACACGTGAACCGTCCAAAAAAGACTGCAGCTGCTCAGTAAAGATGGAAAATTAAAACTGTGCTCTCCCTAAAGAAATATTAGCAAATACTTTTGAGTAAATTGCACAATAGCTCTCTCCCCTATTTTGTTTCGTTTTTTTCCCTCCCGCTTAAAAAGTTTTAAACACTCTCCATAAGCAAAGGCAAAGCTCATTTTGGCATATAAGAAAAACAGAGGTCACAAATGCTGAAAAGAGAATGAACAGAACCAGTACCTTCAAGTGATGGCAAAAGTTAACAGCTGAACTTTAGGAACGTGTCAGTGTTACCTAGATTCAGTGGGAACTGCAATGGGCTGTCTAGCCGATTAACAGCCTAGACAATTAAGAGCTGCACACCTGGAACAACTCTTTCTGGAACACGGCAAAACTGACTGCATCAACAAGAAAGGTCTTTTCAGGAAAGCTTGCAATTAGTAGAAGATCGGTGTTGTTTTAGAGGGGTTTTAAAAAGCCACTCTTACTCTGGAGGTTTCAAACAGCCTTCAATTCTAGCAAGTCTAATTATCCAAAGAACCAGAAATACACTGATGAAGCTAAACCTCCTCCCACTGTTCTCTGAGGCTTTACTTCCTAGTCCAGTTGAGCCTGAGGTGGCTACGTAACAAGGGCCATGGTCCAAGAAACAGACATTTAAGTGTGAGACAGAACTATTACCACTAATGCTTCAAAGCAAATGTTTTCTCTGCAACAGTTGTTAAAAAAAAATAGGTGGAAAATGCAGGATGTAGCAACATCCTGATTCTTTTCTCAATTGCAGCGGTGAGTGGAGTATGTGACAGAATGAGAAATGAGGACAAGGTACCACGGTGGTAATAAGACCCCACGTGATGCAAGGGAAACAGGATAAACATATCTCAAGGGAGGCCTGTAGCAAAGGCCCATAGCATCCACTCCAACCGTGGCATGGAGCAATGAAGGAATCCACCATTATCACATAGCTAAGAAAAACACTGCCCACAAACAGATCGTGCAGAGAAAACTGCACTAACAGTGTCACTGAGCTTCTCCTTCTAACCCTTGGAACAGCACAAAACCAAACCCATGGAACAGTATCAGAATCACGTTCAAGATGATCGAGCCTGTGGTTAGCACTGTCCAAAATTCCAACACAGACAAACTACTACAATCTTCTCCTAGTCACTGAAGGATGTCTGTTTTGTACTCACAAGGATGCGCTATAGCTGACAGCTACTACTTGTAGGTACAAAACTACAAGAGGTTCTGGACTTCTCATTGAAAAGAGTCATTTAACACTTAAATTTCTGAATTCCTTAGGCTGGGTTGGAAAAACCTAACAACCCTTCAACCTATGCCAAAGTTTGCTCTTTCAGAGGTTGCAACAGAAAGAAGAGTGTGACGTTATTTTCATCACTTCCAATGCTAAGGGTTGCTATTAAGGGAGCCGGATTCAAGACTAAGCAACATTTCACTGTTTTCTGCAAGTGAATTTCTAAATATGTTCAACACACAGTACAACTCGAGACCCATTTAGGGCACCCTACAATGGGCTTCAGCGGGAACTAAATGATAGACAGTAGTCATACTGGTACTCCATACAGAGCACACATCCTAGATCTCAGAAAATGTAATACTGAAGCCTGTTTCCTAAGATGAAACAAAACATTCAATAGTCAGACACAAAATGGAACTGTGAACTTTGTTGTGCAGTAGACCTTGCTGTTGGGTAGATATCGATTGATCCTGTCCCGAGCTTCATCTGCTGCATGTTCCACTAGTGCCAGGACATGTTCTTCAGCAGTGCTATCTGTCAGGCTGCACGCATTTCCCTCAGGTTCAAATATGCAACTAAGAAAGAGAAGAAGAGTAGCTGTAGAAATTAAAAGCTAAAGTAAAACAAAGGTCTGAATTCTGGGCTTGCTAAATAAAACAATCAGTCCCACTCCTCTCCCAGTGTCAGTCTACTTCAGCATTTAAGTGGTATTATGAAACTGAAGTTTTGCAGAGGGTGAGAACTACCAAACTACTGAACTTCAAAAATGTAATTAATTCTGTACCTTCATGAAAATGAAGTATTACAAAACAGAGACTGGGAGTAAAATTGTATTAATACAAGGTGAATGCTGCATGCGTCCTTAAGTCTCCCACATGCACAAATGTGCCATTTTCACAAATTCCAAATAGAAAGATGCAGAAAAGAAATTACATGATGAGGGAGTGGAGACTCTGTAAATCTAATCTGAGGAAAAAAAACCCACAAGCTGCATTTATGAGTATTATGTCATTTAGTTGCTTGTAAAAGTAGGACACTGCTCCCAGTCTAACAGGGAGTCCTTTAATTCCTATGTTTCTTAATATTGGCAATTAGTATTCCTAATCAGTATCAATCACACCATTCCTTCTCATTGAAATTACCGAATTTAACATTAATCTTTCAGTAGATCCCTTTTCATTAGAGTATCAAAACAATAAAAAAATAACAAATAAGCATACCTAAGATGGAACAGGACATATCTTAGCTATTATATAAAATCAGGGAAAGGTAGTATTATAAGGGGAAGTGTGAAGATATCAGTAGGATATGGCAGTCTTCATTACATTATATATTTAAAATAAACTTTGTACATCAAAATCTTTCAGGGCATTATATGGACATTAGACACTAGGGCCAAACACCTTAGGTACTGGGTAGAGCATCTCCTCACACCAAATCCATTTCTCTCTCCTGGGGTATCTTCTTCCATTTGCTTAGCTAAGAATTTCTCTCTGTATAGAGATTCAGATCCGATACACAAGAAAGTTTTGCTATTAAAGACAATAAAAAGATCACAGGATCATACTATTATGAGACAAATGTGTTACACGATTTTTGTTTCATTGAAAGTTTAAGAAAGGGTGTACACAGCAGGAAACTCCTCAACAACTGGTACTTTCTATCACACTCTACAGAATACTTAACGGACAAGAATTTTGAAAGAATGTTCAGCAGCTTGCAACATCCTGGACAAAATTTTCAAAAACTACTTAGATATTAGGATGTCCAAGTGATCAAGTCACTTTTCAAACTACAGTACAGAGGTCTAAGCTGCTGTAACACTTCGCAAAAATTAACTTCAGCTCATTCTCTGTTTCCAACTGTGAAATATGTAGGCAAAAATATCTGCAATTAGGTTCAGTTCTCCCCCCAAAGCTCTTACTGTACATCAAAAATAAAATCTATCCTACTGATGCCAAAATACAAGGGTTTAAAAGGTCAAGTTAATTAGAAAAAAACAAAAATAATTCCAACTACTAAAGTTACATAAACATTGAAAAGAACAGGAAATTAAATTTATACCACAACTGATTGCGAGGAAACTGGTATCAGGATAAAATTAAAGGTCAGTTATTTTTAATTATCTGAATTCTATATTAAGGTAGATCTTAAAGACAAAGCAGTCTCAATTTCTCGCTCGGTTAGCTACCTGTATTGAAGATGAGCACATAAAAAAGTGGCAAAGTATGAAGTTACTCCTGTAGTGGAGTTTATGCAAGAATTAATCAGAAGAGAAAACCTATTATTCTGGGCACCATACAAACCAAATCATCATGCTTTTTAAAAAAAACAACTAAATAAAACCCAGACCACTTCCCCCCCCCCCCCCCCCCCCCCCCCCGCTGTCAAGTCTTGTTTACATAAAGGTACTTTCAGTTAATTCCTACACACAATCCCTTAAACAAAGAACAAATTACACTTTGATAATTCTTCATGATACAGCAACAGGTACATTTCTGTACACTGACATTAGAATAGTTCCAGCCAAAAAAATTACTCTGTTCAAAAATAATTTTTGAAGATACATGTTGCAGTCTCCTATTTCCACAAAACAACTACATAAAAATACTACTTCCATCAGACATTAAGCAGGATTACAAAAATGCTTGAAGTGCAACAAAAAACATGTGGTTGATTAGAACTCTGAAGTTCACTTTTAACAGAAATGAGAGAGCATGAACTTGGAATAGCAAGTCAGATTTCACTTCTTTTACTTTGGATGTTTACAAAAGAAGCCTGCAGAACATATCTACATGATAAGTTTATTTAAGACATGACTGGTAATGCTCTCCTGCAGTTTAATTTTCATAAAATTCCAGTTGATATAATGCTCTACAATTTAAATTCTACATCTATGCTAGGATGTCTATGTAAGAATACTGAGAACAACATAATTCTCTTGTAAATCAGTTTCTGCTAAAATCTCCTCGTAAGATAGAAAATAAACCCCTTTAGACTAATTTTAGACTTTAGCCATAAAAACATGACTTTGTGACATGGAGGTGTCTATTAGCTGGAAGATAGCTATTGCACTAGCAATGTATTTTACAAAGAAGTTTAATAAAATTTAATTGGGAAGATGTTATAATCTGCTCCAGAAATAATCTCCTGTATCTCTATATTCTACCAGATGAGACTAAAATGAAATAAAATCATTCACTGATCTGGGGCCACTTTGCCCTCTAAGAAAGATCCTGTTTAGGTTTTGATAGAGTCAATAATTTTAGGGAAAAAAAAAAAAAAAAGGCGGGGGAGGGAAGACAAAATGCCAGAAGTATTTGTGGCTATGTTAAAAATAAAAGAACATTTCAAACCACTATGAGAAGAAACTACTCGTTATTTTATACAGATACAAAGAAGGATAAAAATATCTATATATATATATTAACTATAAATGTTTAAAAGAATATGCAGTCATTCATTGACTTGTTTGTTTCAAGTTGGAAATCACTGGGTTATTAATCTAGCTCTATAAATAAACAAATAAACAGAATTGCCCATTTATCCTACGGACCACAAGGAGAAAGGCTGAAATGAGGTCTTTTTCCTCAATTCTCTGCTGCTGTCTAATATTACAAAAGCTGCCACAAACCAGTGAGCATGCCCATTAAAACCTTTACCTAATAACTTCTTTATTTTGCTTTTTGGATTTCTTGGTAGTCTCTGCTTGTACAGGAACAACTTCAGGGACAGGTTCCTCAACTGCTGTGTCTTCATCACCCAAAAGAGCTGCCTGCTGAGAAAAATCCATGTCCTGCATAAACGACATGCTGCGCTTCAAAGCTAACAGCCGTTCCTAGAATCAGAAAGGACAGAGCGGCAGGGACTTAACCTTTCCCTCATAGCCAAGATGCTATGATAATGGGATGGGATGGGAATGGCCATGGCCTTATTTTGTTCTTAATGCCTCGTTTCCAATGGCGATGCAACATGATTTGGTCATGGTAGCATGTCATCAGAATTTCTGCAGCCCAACTATCAAGAGAGAAACAAACAAAAAAAAAAAAACTGCATATGCAAAGACAACTGCCTATTTTACACAAAACTTACCATAACTGCAACACATGCACGCACACACACCCACATGCACACACACACAGAGCAGCTCACCAAAATAATTTTACAAGCCAACAACCACAATGGAGTAAAAACTGTGTTTGCACGTGCACATCTATGAAACCCCTGAAACCTCCCCTACACCCACCACCTTTTAAAAAAGAAAAGCTTTCTTGCTTATGGAGAAATACAACTTAAATGAGATCTCGTTTTCAAAGTTTCAGCCAGAAGCAATACTTTACAGCTGGGTTTTATATACATGGATCTTATTTGCTTCCACTGATGCCAGCAGAAGCAGCTCCTACAGACTTCAGTGGTGCAGATGAGGTTCAGAAATAAGGGTGTGGTTATAACAAGAATGCAATCAAGCCCTAAAATACAGCAGCACTAACAGGCACTGCCATCATTAATCACAGCTGGATGAAATAGCATTTATCATTACTATGTTCCTTTTAAGTACGACCAAAAAAACCCCCAGAGTTTCTGCTTTTTGTTTTTAATAGGTCTCTTACTTTGCTCATCATCTTAAAGCCTGTGTGCAGTATCTTCTTGGCTAGCTTGTAGTAAACAGTGTCTGGTCTGTTGTAAGTCATTGCATTATCACACATCAGTTTAAAATCTGCCTGTAAAATACAAAACAAAAGAACTGTTAAAATTTCAAACTCCTTTGTTAAATGACTGGAAGATACCATTCCACCATGGCAGCTCCGTGAAGAACACAATAATATTTTAGCAGCAAGCTCGTGGAGTAAATGCAAGCCAAAATGTAACACAGAATTGCAAAAGTTCAAGCCCTCTTTGCTGCTTCAAGATGCTCAGTTTTGTTGACAGTTGGATTTCTGGTTATAAAAAAAAAAAAAGCTCAGGCTTTTTCCTGAATGGCAAATGTAACATTTCCTCCTTATGCAAATAGACCAAACAGAAGAAATGGAGAAACTGATAGAAGGAATGAGGCACTAAGGTAATTACTTTTTGGCAGTTTTCCCACCTTCTAAATCAGAAAAGACTTGAGAAATACAACAACATCAGAAAGACAGATAGTGTCTTACATGTCATTTTAATCTTAGTAATGTGAACCCATCTCTGGTCACCTGCACTAAAACAAAAAAAGCAATAAAACTTCAAAGCATAAGAAACAGCCTTCTAGATTCTCATCGCATGCAACAGAACAGCCAAGCCTAGTTTTATCTTCTCTTTTGAAATGTTATCTGTCATACATAATTTCAAGTAATTTTTACTCATGCAAGTTCCCAAAACAAAGGTGCAACAAACTCCACTGTAAATTGAACCAAAAAAAAATGTTGCAGATTGCAAAAGCTTTTTGTAGGGTGCCTTTTTTCTAGTCACATGCTACTCATCTGTAGAGTGAAGCACAGAAAGCACTATTGGAAGCTCTATGAAACACTGAATTAAAAAGACATCATTATATATGCCTCTGAAAATCTCTGAAGTTGACTAATCAACAACCAAGAATCATGCAGTAGTCTTTCCAGACACTTCACAAACTGGACCCTAACAAATTAAACCGGCACCTGATTTAAGAATGTATTTTTCCCTCTTAACTTTTCAATGTTTAAACAGTGATTGTTCAGGCTATTAGGTTTCATTTTTTCTGTAGACACAAACGCAAATGGTTTTTGTGCATGAGTCCATTAAAATTTGATGACCTGATTATGTGCAAAAGTGTATGCAAACAGAACAGTAAGCTTTTGGAAAAGTTAACCCATTGAGTTACAGATCAGTGGACACATAAGTCTTTCTAAAGACTTTCTCTGGCACCCAACAGGTTATTTACAAAAAGTAACCTTGCCCTACCACGATGCTGATCAGATTCTGTAAAAACAAAACATTGGTTTAGTTCCTGTTTCTGTACAGGGATTCCAAAGCAGTGGTCTCCTAATCATCTAGTAGTTATCATCTAGCCCATACTAAGCAAGCAGGTGAGCAGAGTTACAACTGGTAGCCTGTGACTTTCTACGGCATTTAAGCCATCTGTCTTCGCTGAACGAGACCATCACAAAAACAGAAATTGAGAAGACGACACGGAGGAGCAACCTGTGAGCCAAGAAGCAGATAAAGAAGCCCATGTGAGCTATACATCTAGTGATGGCCTTTGAAGTGCTACAGAAAAGGACAGAGAAGAGTCATTTGCTTGCCCAATTTTGAAGTAGACCCTTTTTTCAGCAGCAAAACTAATGAGTTTTCTGCAGCAATTTCCTCTCTTCTAAATTCAGCAAATGGTTCTTGCACATTCTGTTCTGCAACAGATTATTTATTGGCTTGTGACTAGCCTTAGCTAGCTGTAGTAGATGTACCAGAAATGAAAGATAACCCTTCAAGAAGGACTTGGTTTAGCCATCAAAAACCTATAAACTTCTTTTCTGGATTGCACAGAATTACCAAGTCGTAAGCATAATTAGGTACACTCATATCTAGAAAGGGGAGTCCAATCTGTCACTGTAAGACAGACAGACTCCTAGCAATCATTTATCGCTCCTCAGAGTATCAGCGGAAACCAAGTCCTTCAGAAAGAAAAAGAATCTGTCAGTCTCAACACTACTGCAATTTTCATTTTTTTTAGGTTGCTATCTCACATTTCACTATTGCAACCTTGCCTGTGATTAAACAGAGCCATGGAGCTCCCATTCAAACTTCTGTTTTAAGTTGCTGAATAAGACAATCCAACAAGCCAACAGGATTTGGAGACCTGAAGGCATTGCTGATGGCAAAGCACCTACAGGAAATAAGCCATTCTCTACTTACCTTGATGGACCTTTCTAAAGAAGAAATTAACCCTGAGAAGCAAGCCAATGCCCTTTGCCAAGTCTATTATATCAACACCACTCTAGAAAACAGTGATACTGAAGGCAGCTGATAGAACTTCATAAATCAGTTAAAGAAAACTCCTTTTCCTTGCAGGTGCTGGCAATACCATGAAAAGATTTTTGACTGCGCTCTCTGTAAAACCACAAAGCATCCAATAAAGTATGACAGCAATAGCAATATAAGGCAAGTTGCCAATAAATTTGTGAAGTTTCTGCCAAAAGACCATTCCAAATGAAGTTACATGGAAAACGGGATAATGAAAGACAAAAAGGTATGTACTTGTTATCAAATCTTATACAAAATGCTTCAGTACATCCACCTCTTCAACCACTTAAGTATTTGTGGTAGTCTTACTCATGTGTATGTCTAGCAGCATGAATTCCATGGAACTTTTGAGCACATTATTGGCTTCCACAGTAATTTGCAGTAGATTGCAGTAGAATCAGACAAATATACAGCTTCCTCAGTGAAAAACAAAGCAAGAAACCCATTCTAACACACAGAATATACAAAAGTGCTCAGTTCTGAAAAAAATGCACATTAAAGTAATTAATGGAAGAAGGGCTCCTAGTTAAAAAGAATCTGCTATTTCTTACTAAAGAGGTCTGAAATAACTAAATCTCTATCAATTCACCTTGAATTCAGTGACTGATTTGTATTCGTTTGCTGCAATTTTTTCCTTCATCGTACCAAAATCCATGGGGTGTTTTATTATCATGGAATATCCAGGAGCAATTGCATCCGTGACTGGAAAAGCAAAAAACCCATGAGGATCCTTCCTAAAAATAAAAACAACACATTTAGATTTGTAACCCGCAAAGAGAATGATCATTATTTTTATACCACATTAATGGTATAAAAAGAATAGTACCACTTAAAAAGAAAAAAACACAAAAACCACTCTCATAAAACAGAACCATGTTTAAAAAATCTCCTGATACAGGAGAAAAATTTTATTACACATACACATACACAGACTTTTTCAATAAGATTCAGCTAGTTCTGCAATTACCTATTTCTTGTATGCTTTCTGTGTCTCTATTTACACTGCAAATGGGTCTTTTGGCTTCACTGAGTAATAACCTCTTTGATTCTTGTTCATGAGGTCCTCTAAAAATAACTAGTGTTTAATATTTTTAAATTAGTTCCAAATTCAACTTATTGTTATGTAATAAAAAAGGAAAATGAAATATTTTGGGGTTGGGGGGGTGTTGGGGGGGTGGGTGGGGTGTATGTTTGGTTTTTTGTTTTTTTTTTTTTTGTTTGTTTGTTTTGTGGTTTTTTTTTTTTGGGGGGTTGTGGGTTTTTTTTTAAGAACACAATGCACAGGGTTAACATCTTATGGAAAACAGTAAAATAAAAAGCCTCTCCAAATTAAGAGGATTATTAAGTAAGCAGGTATAAACTTACTTTGGTATCTAACAGAAGACACAGACCAAAACAAAATTTCTTCAGAACAGTTCAATCTTTTAAACTATTAAGATTCGTAACTGTTTTTTCATTCCTAAACTAAGTCGTTAATATTTAATAAACTTATAATGGTAATGTATCCTCTGTCCAAAACACTTCCTCACCAAAAGCTAGAATTGAATAGTTGGTAATAATTTTCCTCAACTAATACTGCAAAACTACCAGGTTTGACACGTTTGCAAAGGTTACCAAACACATTACAGCCAGTCTTTAGGCACTATTTTCAAACAGAAAACCAGGATAAGAAGTTGTAAAGTAACACCCCTAAATACGCATTAGACACTGAAACACAGCTACAGATACAACACACTTAATACCTTTGAAGCTGGCGAAGGAAGTGTTCTAGTAATTGCTGGATCGGCGTGCTCTCATTTTCAGCTGCGGTTTGAGACAAAAAACACAGATATGTGGAATGAAACAGAATACAGATATATTTATTTATTTAAAAATGTAAATACCAGAGAGAACATCTTAACTGCAAGTACTGCTTGTATCAATCTGAAGATCAATGAAACATGGATTTCAAAGCAGAAGCACATCAGATTTCTAAGCATACAGTAACTATTTCTTCTCCTTTACTAGTTACTAAGTTTTAATCACAATAAAAACTAGTAGACACTAAATCAGATGCAATGCTAAGTCTAGTAGTTGTTAGGAAATGTATTAGTAAGGTGATATGTATTTATACAGGAAAAGAGAAGTTAAACGTGGATCCTCAAATACTGCAGTTGGGAAATCCACATTCTTACAACGTTATCCATGTAATTTTAATTGTTTCTGTACTGTAACACCCATGCAATTAGTTTCTCTGAATCTTTTAATTCAAAAAGAAGAGTAACAAATAGGTACAGATTTGCTGGCAAGAGAGGTGCTGATTACAATTTCATATCCTGTACAGATTAAACAATAAACACTACACCCTAATTACCTGTTCCATGCACGTACTTCAGAGAGATTGGCTTTAATACGAAGTTTGAAAAACTAAAGCAGCAGCATGTTGAAATCTAGAATTAAAACTCCAACTCTTCATCATGATAATGGAGAGACATTTCCCTTCTTAACAAGAACAGGAAAGACAATCTATATGCTTTTGAATGACATTTTTCAAGCAGATGAAAATAGGTACCTTGTCAATATAGATATCAAGTTTTAGCTTGTCAGTTTTTCAAGGCTCCAGACTACCCAGAGACATAAAGCTTTGACCATAATATATCAGTTACCCCTATTAGGTCACCTTGACAGTTGATGGACACCATTACTTAATCTGTAGCCATAATTAGAAAATTCCTCAGTAAATTACCTGGTTAACAATCTGTTTCAAAGACAAGATTCCAAATATTCCTAAAGACCTAACTTTTTGCTACTAAGTTCTATTTCCAGGCATATGTGTACTGAGATCATGATGTATATGAGAATTCTTCTCAGTAAAAGCTTCCACAGGATAACATTGAGTTTCAACTATCAAGCAATGGTGGCAGATAGAGAAAGCATGGCAAAATCTGAACATAATAAATATGCAGAAGTTACCACACACAGCTGAGAAGTATTTTGGCTGGTGATGAGAATTAAAGAAGATGGTAAATGAAAACTGGGGGGACTATGATCTTTAGAGACACCCTATCACAACTCACTGCCATACTTTTGATGAAATAGAGATACTAAAATTCAAACTCCACATATGTTATAAAAAGACCTTAACAACAGCTAAGCAGTCTCCACTAGATTTTTTCATTTGGACTGAGCAAAACTTAGTTTCACACTTTCTGACCGTTGTTCTTTAAATGCTGAGGAGAAAGAATTCGGGGACCACTATAACAGTTTCATACCAGCTTTATTCTGTCAAGTAATAGCAGCCAGAGACAGGTGTCATTGTCAAGTTCAGTCACATGAAAACAAACCTACCAAAACTCAGAGGCACCAAGAGGAATACTGATTTTTCAGACAGCAGAAAAGTTCTGAATGTTGGAAAAAATAAAGTCTCTAGATTTCAGCAGATCCCTATGGCAATTTTACATTTCGGTACCTTTGACAAAAGCTTTGTTGTGCGTGCTTTTGAAAACACCCAAGATGATTTAATTTTTCGCACTGCTCACCCGGCTGAGTTCTGCATGCTCTGATAGGACGATCTGGAGGAGGCTCAACCTCCACTTTTTTCCCAGGATCAAAGTCATCAGTTTCTCCTTCAGTGTCACACTGTTCTTTCTCTCTTTTCCTCTTTTTCTCTTCCTAGCACAGGAGGAAGACAACAGACTTTAGAAGAACATACTTGAAATGTACAATCTCACATACCAAAAGGTAAGAGACAGTGATTTTTCATTTAGAATACTCAAATCTGTATCTGAGCCATAATACGGTTTAAACAATAGTGCATACATTTTCATTGTCACTTTTTCCATTTTCTTCTCCAATTAAAACTAATATTGTTCGCCTTTTGCCTCTTTTATTTAACATACTATTGTTCTATCATGAGTTACGGTACTTTTACTGAAATGAATGTTAAAAACTCTGAAGCTATTTATATGTAAAACTGCATGATAACAAGCCACACAAGAGAGTAAAGAAAGTTAATTTACTATTCAGTAAAGATCAGTCTGTAGCTCTGCTTTGATCACTGTGTTTTTGTTGCCTGGTGCACTGAACAGGAATCAATAAAGTACATGATAATTTAGGAGGCCTACAGAAGAACGTAAGAAATGCTGTCACAGTGATGGCAAATAATGATCTCTTCCTGAGGTTCAAAGTAAAGGCATACCTGAGTCATTCCTATAATCTTACAGACATTGTTCGTGTTTGCAGAGAAAAGCATACTTCCATTAACCCTGTTCAGACTACAGTTTTGTTACTTATCTATCCGTTAGCTTCTTTTGCATGTGCTAATAATGAAGTTCTAGGGAAAACAAAACAAAACAAACAAACAAAAAAACCCACCCCCCCCAAGTTAGCAAAGGCAAAACAACTCGTTTGATGCTGCAAGATCTTGTATTAAAGACAGTTGTTTTGCTGCATTTCAGCTCCCAGCCATACTCTTAACTGAAACACTTGAAAATGTTTGTACAAATAAAGTCTTCCAATATCTATATTCAAGAGGTTCTGAATGATCCAGAAGATACATCACTGTCAAGTAATACAAGCCTAATGAATAAATCACTTAAAAATGACAGATGCTAGCCATACACACACACAAAGCAGTACCAAAAACCTGTCATATGAGATTAGTAAAGCTACATTACAGAAGATAATTAAAAAAGCAGAGAAGTGAGAAAGTCATTAGTATACAAAAATAAATATTATTAAATTAAACCATAAAGCAAACTATCACTAACACCATCTTTCTGATTTCAGTCTCACTCCTGAAGTTTCAGCACAGACAAAGAAAGGTGACCACACCACTGGTTACTCACAAAGCCCAGAATGCAGGTTAGTCTAAACAAGAGCCAACAAGCCAACAACTACCACAGTACTCAATAGACCGGGTTCCAGGAAACTTTTTTGAGTAAGCCTATCAATTTCAATGTCCAATAACTTGGTACATCTCAGGAACAAAAATGCTGCCTGGATTTATTTGGAAAGCTGAAAACACCCTCCTCAAAGGGTAGCAAAACGTATTTCTGACCTGGCTGAAATACAAAACATCCAACTTAAAAACAGAAGGATTCATACCTACAGACAAAGTAAATGGATAAGAAAACCAAGCACTTACAGGGAACAAGATTTTACTTTGTTCAAAAAGGAATCACAGGGATATCTCTTGTAGGTGGGAGAAATACACCAACACACACACACATGGATTTTTTACATATACATGTCTCTAAACAATACGGTTCTTGCAACAGTGATTAAAACAAACAAACAAACAAACAAACAAACCCCCCACAACAACAAAAAAAGTTCTGGTATTCTGCACCAGATTTTAGATCTCAGAAGCAAGCATGAAGAAGACTGCTATGTCTGAATGCTAAAAATCACAGCTTACCTTTCTCTTTCTTCTTTCTTCATCATCTAGGTGCTTTTCTTTATCCTTCTCTGACTTTTTTTTCTTTTTTTTCTTCTTTTCTTTATGTCGTTCTCGCTCATGATCTGATCTGTCATCATAGTAACTAGAATCATGCCCTGACCCAGAAAGTTCAGTCACTTCACTTCCTCCAACTTTAAGCACCAGCTTTAAAGGTTTTTCCAAAGGTTTATCCACATAATCTGAATTCAAAAAGCAAAACATTTCATAAATGCACAGGAAAGTGACAGTATACTGCAATTAGTGATACTCCTTCTAGAAATACTGTATACGAGAATTTACTGCAGTTTGAAAATGTATGCAATACATTTGGAGAGAAAAGTAATAGCCAAGACTAACAAATTAAAGGTAAGAAACAGTTGTTCAGCACGTTTCACCACCACGATTTTCCACAAACCCGCAGCGCGTAAAGAACACGCTCCTCGGTTTTCCCGGCAAACACCGCAAGACCCTTGCCAGCGCCAGGTGAAGCCATGGCTCAGCCCAGCAGGGCCGCGACCGCAGTCCGTTAACGGCTGCACGAACCCGCCAAGACACGGTTGGTCTACGAAACACCATTGCCCGCCCCGCGTCCCCCCTCCCACCGCCACGGAACCCCACACAACACCGCGCCGCTTCATCCTCCTCCTCCTCCTCCTCCCCGCCCCGGCAGCAGCTCTTCCCACCCCAGGCGCTCTGCTGCGACCCAGCCCGCGGAGCGGGTACCTCACCGCTGTACGCGGTGGCGGAAGCCGAGCGCCATTCCGCCTTCTCTGCCTTGTGTTTCTTGTGTTTCTTCCCCATGGCGGAGCCGGCCCCGCCAGCCGCCTCCGGAAGCGCGCAGCGGAGGGGGGAAGGGGGGGAAGGAGCCTTTCCGCCTGCCGCGGAGGAAGATCCAGGTCAAGGGGGCCGGGCCGAGCCTCGGCGCGCCGGGCCGCCTGTTACGAAAAGGCGGCCGCGGTCTCCCGGTGCGCCGCCTTCTTTCCGCAGGGCTTTCCCGCTCTCCGGGTGGCGGAGCCCTCAGGCTGCTGAGGGGACGGAGGAGCCGCCCTGTCCTAACGCTCCGCGGGCAGAGCCTCCGGTTTGAGGTGATTTCCCGTCCCCACCGCGGAGACCCGCGGGGGTGCGAGTGTGTGGCTGTGTCCGTGTGGCTGTGTCCCGTGGCTGGCGCCGCCATCTCATGAGGGAGAGTGGAAGGACCGGCTGTGCCGTTGCCGCACAACGGTCGCTGCCCGCCTGGTTCTCCTCGCTATCGCTTTTCCCCCTCCTCCTTCCCCTTAGGAGCGAGCAGGATGGATGAAGCCGCTGGGGATTTGAAGCAAGCGCTCCCAAACGTCTGTGACAGCGTTCAGATACACGTGGAAGTTCATCAGAAATCAAGCAGGTCTCTGATCAGAGCTTTACTTGCTGCAGCTCTGCCTGTTGCCTTTCGTCCTTGCGCCTGTGGGAGCGCACAGCGCTCCGCTCTGCCCTCTCTACGCTCTCCTACGAGTTTCCACACAGGTGTCTCTTTCTAAGGGTGAACAAACCCATTTCTCTCAGCTTCTCCTTTTGCGCCGTGTGATCCAGTCTCATAATCGAGTTGGTGGCCGTATTCTGGACTTGCTCCAGTGTATCGTGATCTCTTGCACAGCAGAGCCCAAAACTGCACACCATGCTCCAGATGTGATCTCACAAATAGCCAGTAGACAGAAAGAATCACTTTCCCTAATGTTTGCACTCTTGCTAGCACAGCCTAAATTAAGGTTGGCCTTATTTGTAGCAGGGGCACACTGCTGACTCACTGCCAGCTTGCCCACCCGTACCTTTGGGTCCTTTCCTGCAAAGCTGCTTTTCGTCCAGTTGGCCTCTGGTCTGTACTGTTGTCTGGACAGTAGATGGAGAGACAGGATTTCATGTTTACCTTTGTTTAACTTCAAGAGGTTCCTGTCAAACCGTGTCTCCAACCTGCAGAGGGTTGGATGGCAGCCCTGCTCCCTAATATACTGACAGCTCTCCCTACTTTGGTGTTGTTTATAAACTTGCTGCAACTGCTTTCCACCCCATTGTTCAGGGTGTAAATGAAAATGTAAAACCAGTGTTAGTCCCAACATTGATGATACCACTCCACCTTTTCCTGCCTGACTTACTAGCAGCTCTATTAAGTCTTTGTATCACTAATCACAACCCTTTAAGCTGGACAGTCCAGCCACCCTGTTGTCCTTTTATCCAGTCTTTATCTTACCTCTTTGGCTACCTAGATACTATGAGAGAGTGTGTCCAAGGGGTTGCTAAAGTCAAGGTGTAAAATATCCACTGCTCTCTTTTTATCAGACATAAAAGACAGGGAACTGGGAATTTGCACTGGAAATGCATTACTGGAATTGCACAACTGAGTTAAAGCCTTCCTGAAATCTTAAAATGGTAGTCCTTTTCCTTCAGTTTTAGTCTTTTCTATTGGAATTCTACTGGATATTAATTCATACTTCCTTATAAATGTCACTGCCATAACTAATGCTGTTCTGTTCTTGCTAGTGTGGCCAAGAAAGAAGATATCAGGATGAGTGTCTTAAAGCTGTTGAACAGACATAACATCGTGTTTGGTGATTACAAGTGGACAGAGTTTGATGATGGTTTCCTTAACAGCAACGTGCAGTCCGTGTCGATTGTGGATACCGAGCTGAAACTGAAAGACAGACAGGTATTCCCACTCAAGAATGTACAGCTCTGTGCATATGCATATGAATTAGTTGTAGGCAGAGTAGTGATATCCTAAGGACATAAGCAAGACAAGGTCTATAGGACAATGTAATATCTTTTATTTGTCTGACTGGTATAACCAGGAAAACGTGGATAAGTTTTTGGGCCTACACTCCTTAGTAAGGTCTGAAAAAGAAGTAGGAGGCTTCAAAGCTGAATGCCAGCTGAAAACTGTAACTTTCTTAAGTCACAATTAGCTTTGAATGAGAAATACGATGTATTAAAAGTCTTTTTATGTCCATTCTAGCCTATTGACTTGAGCAAAAGCAATCTTTCCCTTCATATTTTTCATCTGAGTGAAGAAGGACCAAGCTCTGAAAACCTGGAAGAAGAGAATGAGGATATCATTGCAGCTAACCACTGGGTGCTGCCAGCAGGTAACCCTGTGATATTTCTGGAAGGTCTAGAGCAATTCCAATGAAAGAAAATCTTGAAAAGGCTGAAAATGTTTATAGGGTTACCTGTTAAAGGTATTATTTGTATATATTACTTGACTTTCTCCTTTGTCAATGGAACCAATATGTTTGGACTTTATGGTTTTGACCGAACTACTATGGGTCTTTCCACAACATGTCACTTATTTCTGCAATACTTGTGGATGAGTGCAACTGGTCTTGTGGAATAAAATGTATAGTCATAATCAGAAGCATGCAAATTTTAAAATGGACAGGCTTCATTCCAGATTTTTCTTTGGAGACCCACAAGAAACTCATCAGTTTAAACATTCATTTTCCAGAGCCTCCTGCTGGCTTCCAATCCCCAAGACAGTGCTGCTCTTATATTTTGAACAAACAAACAAACTGAAGAGATTTAGAGTCAGAGTGTCTCCTGAAAAGAATAGGGCTTTGCTCTGCAGTAGTATGACCTGCCTACTACTGTCTTGTGCTTGGGGAACTTGGATTCTCTGCCTGGAAGGAGATGTACAGGTGTGAGCTTCAACTCAAAGAGACAGTAATTCTGAGATAATTCTTGCTCTTTCCATGTTGTGAAAAGCCTAACTATCTGTTACAATTCTTCTCTTTGGGAAGAATACAATCTGATACTTTGACATTATTCCCATATTATTGTGGTTTGTAATTGTTCAGTCATTTTGCTTTGCTTTGCTGAAAGCTATAACCTAACTGCTAGAAATGATTGATACCCAAATCACACCTTTAATTTTTTATGCATTATTCACCTACGTGCTTTTTTTCATCCTCTACATGTTGATGTTAAAAAAAAAAAAAAAAACAAACCAAAACAAAAACTGCTAAATGATAAAATTTGTCTTGGAACCCTCCTCCCACCCCATCTTTTCACAGCTCTTTATCTTGTGGAAATGTAAGCCCATCCGCTATTGAGGGTGAAAAGAACGATACTTTTACTTTCACGTTAGGAAATTAAGAGAATTATTTTCTCCTCACAATTATTTGAGAAAACAGAAGTTGTAAAACTGCTGAATTTGTCTGTTAAAAAGTAATGTTCATGTTTTGAGAAATATAACTCATATGTTTTTTTCCATATTAATTGCTGTCATAAATCTGTTCTTAATCCTTAATTTTATTTGAGAATAATTTGAAAACTTCTTTGTGCTGCAGTGGTAGAATACAAGTTCCCAGATTGATTTATCCTAAACAGGTATATAATATATTGCTTTTTCAGCTGAATTCCATGGCCTTTGGGAAAGTCTTATATATGACACTGAAGTAAAATCACACGTAAGTTGAAAGCGAATAACAATTAAAGTTGCTTGAGGAGAAGTAAGAGTTGAAATGTACACTGTTTGAAGTTTGATGCATCCTGTGGAGAAGTTATCTGGAAATCACCAGCTCAAGAAAGAATTCTGATGTCTGCTTATTACACTTCTCTATTTTGAAAGGTAGTATAGTCTTAGCCATTTTGCAAAGCTTTATATTCTTGTTAATATCTTTATATCATTTTTGATAGCTATATACTTTTCTGATGTACACTTAACAAAAGAAGGCAGAGCTGGCATTTTGAGATTAAACATGATATCCCCAATGTTTATCAATATGTAATACTGTGAAGTCAGCTTTGCAAAAAGTCTCAGTTTCCTTGTGGAACTGGGTTCAGTGATGCTTATACCACAAATTATAAAGAATTTCTTCATATGCTTTGGCTTATTTTACAGAAGTCAGAAGTTTACCAGCAGGAGGTGTTGTTTTGGTAGGAACTTAAAACCTCTCAGGAGATTTTAAATTTTGCTTTAAACATATTCATCAGCCCAATTGTAGGAAACAATTAAAGTTTTGTTGAGCAGAGTAGGAATTTACTTTATTAAAATACTCCACCTTGGTTTAGGGCTCATTAATTGCATGTTTTACTAGAAGGAAAGAAGAAAATTGGTGGAAAAAAATAACTGCAAAGAGGCTTAGAGAAACCATACACAGCATTCTTTGAAATCAGTTCCATATTTCTCCACTGTGAAGGTCCCAAAAGACCTGTTGTGTCTTTGGTGTGGGATTTTTTTTAATAAGGCAATTTTGGTGGCTTGCTATTGCTGAAAGAGAAGTGTGCTGCTATCAGCTGCACTTGCAGTGCTTCTCTTCTACTGGCACTCTTGTTACCTTGCAGTAAACTAACTGAGGAAACTAAATCACTAAAACTGTTCAACTTATTGTGTGATGGGCCAATTATCACCTGGTTTTGTCCCAGTAATCGGTTCGCTGTGACCGTACCTGATGGTCATGTAACAGAAGTGGTGGGTGCAGGCTAGGCAGGAGGGGAGGGGAATTTAACTGTGCAGTTTTGGCAGCAGCTGGACAATTCATTTGTTCAGCAGTAACATCAGCCACCACTGTTACTGTTCATACAAATGCGCATTGAATGATTTGACTAGAGTGAGTGCGATCCCACCTGAGTGCTGGTAAGACATTCGGAGGAAAGAAAACAGTTCCATGGGCTCATTTTCTAGTTTGAAGATTCTGTGCATTCATCAAAAGTTGTGATGATAACTGCCAGAGCTTGTAGGACTGCAAAACTGTAATGTGAAATTTAGTATTGTGATATGAGTAAAAACTACAAGTGATTCAATTCAGTTGCTCTATGACAGCACTCATTAAGATGGTTATTGTTTGTTAGAAAAAAAAAAAGCTTCTAACTGAAGTTTTTGGACAC